GGAAGGAGTCCACGATGGAGGCAGGGGGATGTTCCCAGAGGAAGCTCTGGCTCTGCAGGAAGCCCACACTGGATCAAGCTCCTGGCAGAACTCATGGAGAGAGGAGCCTGAGATGGAGCAGGCTTGCTGTGACCCCATGGGGGACCCAAGCTGGAGCAGCCTTTTCTTGAAGGGCTGCACCCTGTGGCAAGAGGACACATGGAAAAGAAACACTGGGGCAAGGGAAGAGAATGAAGAGGAAGGAGCAGCAGGAGCAATGTGATGAACTGATCACAGCCTCCATTCCCTGCCCCCTGCACTGCTTGCAAGGAATTCTGAAGTGAAGTTGACCCTGGGAAGAAGACAGGGATGGGAGGAAGGTGTTTTAAGATTTTGTTTCATTTTATCATTACTCAACTCACACTTCTAATTCATGGTAAATGAAGTTAATTTCCTCAAGTGGAGTCTGTTTTGCCCATGACAGTAATTGCTGAGTGGTGTCTCCCTGTCCCTGCCTTTCCCACGAGCATTTTGTTGTGTTCTCTCCCCTGCCCAGCTGGGTGGGCACCCAGCATCCAGCCAGGGTCATCCCACCACAATAGAATTGTATTTTTAGGCCTTGTCTCTCCAGGGAAGTTCACCATTTCTTTAGCACGAGCTATCCTGGTGTAATTCTTTATGTTGAATTTAAAAATTAAAAACTTTCTCTTGGATGCTGAAAAATAACTTTGTTATTTCTGAGGAATTACACCGGTATAATTACACTGATATAATTGCATTTGTAAATCAGATGGAAGATTTCTCTTGTGGGCACTAGGGAAGAGCCAAATTTGGTGCTTCTGGAAATTTAATTGCAAATGGTTTTTATTTTTTTGTTATACCTCTCCCCTATAACTAAAAATAGGAACATAACTTAAAAGGAGTGAAACCTTTTCTAGTTACTTACTTTCTCTCTCTTAAAATGATGGGTGAAAAACCAACCTGGTATCAGTTTCCAGTTACAAATTATTCTAAAAGCACTTTAATTTTCATCCTTGAAGCACAGAAGTAAAGTGAAGTCCAGTTAATGTAGTGGCAGTGCAGAATTCCAGCTTACAACCTTCCCTTTATTTTCCCTAATTGTCTCCTGGTTGAGCTGCTGACAGCAGTGAAGGGACTGTAATGGTGCAGTTATCTCCCAGCTCCCAGAAATAGCAAAGGTTTGTTAAAAGCCTTATTTATGAGGAATCTCCCTTTCCTGCATCATGACAAACCCCAAACTATGGCTCTTCCCCTGCTCTGCAGGAGATGATTTTGGAATTAATCTGTTGGCTGTTCATGCACAGGGTAACAGGCAAAAGCTGTAAGTAGTAATATTTCAATCCTAAGATTGTTTTCCTTTTGGCACAAAGATGAGGAATTACTCTGGTCTGAAATGTGGAGGGAAAGGGCTTTTCTCAGTGAAAAGTTTTCCATGTTCCATGGACATCCTAGAAGGCCCCGACAGGGTGCACAGAATCAGGAATTGTCTGTGAAATGTCTGGAATCAAAAACCACTTTAATGCCAAGTCTGATTGTGTTTGTGAGGGACAATTTCAGATGAAAGCTGATGGATTTATCACAGGGGATGGACTTTGCAAGGACTGAGAGTCTTGGGCATTACAGGTTTGGAATGAGGATGGTTTTCAGGTGGTAAATGCCAGGAATGATCAATAATTGTTTAAATCTGTAGGGTTTGCAGGTCTAAGGCCATTACCTGTCTGTGCCATCCTTTTGCTGCTAGTGGATGTGCTGCAGATCTGTCCCCCTTCAAATGGAATGGCAGGAGGGAACTCTGGACGAAGGCAGTTCCTAAAACAAGAGGCTGCTCATACAGTAGAATATCTGTTCTAAAGAAGTGCAGTGAGTTTCTGGAGATGACTGAAAACTTTCCCATGTCATGGAGTTGCTGGGTAAACTTTCCTGGCTTGGTGGTGGCTGTATTGGATTGAATTGCTATGGAGAAGCAGCAGGAATACTGGGTGAGTCTCCTGTCTGCTGCAGAGTCAAACTTGTGCTGGTTTTTTTTTTGTTTTTTTTTTGGTTTTTTTTTTGGGGGGGGGGGGGGGGGGGGTTCATTTAAATGTTGAATTTTTATTCCTGTGCTGTAACTCCAAAGTGTCACCACTGAAGCAGATGCTTAAAGCACTGAATGGGAGAGTAGTGGTTTTGGAGAGACTTGCTGACCCTTGGGACAGTCTGCCTGGCACCTCTCAGAAAAGCCTTACAATTCTCACAGAAACAGATTGATCTGGGGGCTGTCTCCCAGCCTCAGTGGATCTTGGTAATTCTGCTCTGCTGCAAGCTGAAACATCCCTTTTCTAAACAGCAGCTTTTCATAGTCTGGACTCGTAGCTGGTTGTTGTTCAAAATGCAAGTTATCTACTCCCACTATAAAATCTTTGCCTGCAATTTTAGAGTAGAAAAAGACATTTATGTTTTTTTCTCTTCACTTTCTGTTTTTAGAGGAAATGTGTTTATAGAATATGGACTTTAAGAAGGGGCTGCTGCTTGCAGCGTGTAGTGTGATCTGTTAACTGTGAACTTAGAGAAATCAATCCTAATTTCCATGAAAAACTTTTTAGGCTCAGGATATCAAGTCACAGCACACAAAATCTGGGCTATTTTAACCTCCAAGTTAGGAAACTTAATGAGTTATTGGCAGGGAGGTTGTGCTTTTTCCAAGTGGATGTTGAAAGCTTACTCCTTGCAGATGATCCCTCAGGTTATCTCAGCTCTTCTGTTCCATGGAGGTATAGTTACCTACATCTCTCAACACTGAGCTTTTGTTCACGTTTCTTTTCAGAATGGAAATGTAAAACTTACATTGTACAGGAAGGGGATGTGTTCCAGAACAACACAGAAAGTTCGGCTGAGATGAGATTGTGTAACACTTCTGCTGGAAGACTTCTTACCCCACTCCTGTGCTTCATCTGTGTGTAGATAATTCTTACTAAATAAAGGATTTATCTTTGTGAATAGAAGTGGCTGTCCTGTCACAACGGCTCTTCCAGCTCTGCAGCAATTCCCAGAGGAAACAGTCACTGCTATGGAATGTGAGTCTTAATTCAGCAATTGTTGTGGTGCTTGGTGGTGCCAGTGGAGCACATAACCAATCCTGGGGTGTGGGTTGGCATAAGGTGAGAATTCCAGGTGATCCATCAGGAGCGAGTTCATGCATCACACCTGGATTCTGCCCCCACTCAGCTTTCACACCCCCTGCATTTGTGTGTGGAGCTGCAAAAGCAGGTGAAGAGCTTGTGTTGGCTGTATCCCCCTGATGGGAATGAACATGCTGGTGAGAAGCCTGACTGTTTCTTGCTTTAAAACGCTGTGTTTTTATAAATGTAAACTCTTCACCTGTGCTCAAAGTAGAGCAATTTTAAGAATCTGCTGGAACCCTTGACATGACAGTGTAATCACTGACTGGATTTCTAATTGCAGCTGTAGCTCATTATCAAAGCAGAATGCAGGAAACATTTTTATGTTGTTACTAGTATTATTATTATTATTATTATTACTATTATTATTTACTGCACTGTATTAATCTGAGCCACGACAGCCACTGTCCTGCTGTCACTGAGCTCTGTGTGGTTGTGCATGGTGCAGGATGGATGGATGGGAGATCCTAGAGCAGCCTGGAGTGTTTCAGGTCTGACTGGATGAACTTTCTGCTGCTGTTTCTAAGTGTTCATTTGTTCTACCTTTAAATCCTGTAATGGTACAGTGCAGTGAATAATAGCAAATTGTAGATAGATATATAATAATGTATAGAACGGATAGAATTCATCTACTTCTTGACTTCAGTGGATAAACCTGATGTTTTATAAGAAAATCTTAAAATGTTTAGTTCTTGAAAACTATCTTAAATTCCTCTCAGGTAACTTTTGATCCTTTTACAGACGTTGGGGCTGAACTCAGGGAACTCAACCTGGAAAACCAGCAGAAACCTTGAGAGAGGACTTCTCTAGAGGCAGTTCTTCAGGCTGGGGTGTGGGATCTCCTTCAGATGAGAAATGTCAGTTGTACTAAATGGCACAGCGGATTTATTAGTTAAAAGAAAAAGAGCCAAAATGCTTTACTGGTGTCTTTGGGCAGAATTTAAAACAGCATCCCCAAAGCTGAAAGAGTCATGTAACAGCTCAGCTCCCCCACATTCATTCCCAGTTTCTAATGCCCTTTATAATATTGTCAAGTAAAACATTTTAAACACCAACATAAACTTGTAAAGCTCTCAGCCTTGTGCTGGAGAGGGAAAAGGAGACAAGTTCTTCCCCTCCATTATGGAATAGAATAAAGAGCCTGGAGCAGAATACATCAGGTGGTGGGGTGTCTTTGAGTGCCTTGTGCAGGGCTCTGCAAGTATAGCTGAAGATTTTACTGGCCTTGTGCACACACCAACAAATATATAGAAAAGTGAGGTTGAACAGATGAAAGGTTTCCCTATTACACTTGTCAGAGAAAATGCAATGTGAAGGTCAGTCTGTAGTTGGGAGGGAACTATTCAAAAACAGCAATGGAGGAATTACGGAATGGGCCGTGAGCTTTTAAAACATGGAAATACATCTTCATGTGTTTCCTCACAGAGTTGTAAAAATCTTTATTTCTTCAGTGAATTCATAATCTTCCTGGCTTTTGAAGAACACAGATAAAAGATTCAGCTTATTTACAATTAAAACAAGGGAATGTTCTCTGGGGAAAACAGTGTTTGCAGAATCTGTAAAAGGTGATGAGTGCTATCGCGTGTCGATGCTGCTACTTGTGATTGCAGGAACGTAGGATACTTGGCAGGATACAAGGGAGGGGGAAGAGCACAAGGCACAAGTATTTTAGGCTGGAGTTGTTCCTTCTGCCTTGTGGAAATTGCTTCACTTCAAAGCCCACACAAGGACTATGCTGGTTACACACACACACAATATTTCTGAAGTCTACAGGGTAAAAATTAATGACCTGATGTTGGTACAGTAGAGACTTTTTTTTTTTTTTTTTTTTAAACACAATATTGTATTTTACAGTAGTTAACTGTCAGAGGAAGAGAAATGCAGAGTGGTGAGCATGGGTTAGTGGAGAAGGAAGATTTTCTCCATTCAATCCCTTCACTCCCACCAGTGAGCGCTGATTTGGGCCCTGCATGACAGCGGGCGTGTGCAGCGGCCCCTTGGGCTTTGTGTGTGAGCTGATCTCTCCTCCTTAGACATGACCTTACCATGTGCCTCATCTTCCTCCTTCTCCCCTTATTGGGGCTATAATTCCTAAAAATTCAATTCTCCCTAAAACATTTCCCGTCTATAAACTGGAGGAAGCATTAGCAGTCTTAGGGCTGGGCTTTACCCCATGTGTTCTGTGGAGAGGTGCTGCTTCCAAAGGTGACCTCAGTGGAATAGGAGACTGTGAAGGCTCCTGTGCTGCCTTTGCACATCTGTAGCTGCAGCCTTGCAGGGAGAGATTTGTTCAGTGAAATGCTGCTTGAGGAGCTGTGTCACAGCCTCTGCATTTCCCAGTTTGGGCTTCAGGTCACCTGAAACAGCAGCCTGCTCCAGGTGGTTCTTTTGTGCTGGGTTCAGGTGTCACTGGGGTTCTCCAGGTGTCTCATTTTCAGCAGCATGTCTGGGTGAGGTAGTTGTGCTTCCAGAATGCTCAGGGAGCTTTGCAGACAGCAGCCAGTGCACACAATTGCCACAGCATGGAAAGATCAATTTTAATGCCATGTCCACTAAAAATCAGTGTTTGCAAGAGCCCTGCTTACTGCTGCTGCAGAGAGCAAACCCAGCTGCTCAAGCTGTGTTTGGGTGCTGTGCTGCTGCAACATGTGGAGCAATTGCATTGTCTTCTGTTTTCTTACCAGGCCCTGGAATTTTTGATGTTAGGAATCTCCAGCTGACCACAGAAACCTTCTGTCACCAAATGTAGAACTCCATGGCTAAAATGTTACTCCTGAAGAGCATGATTTAGCCTGTTAGGTGGGGTTTTTAATAGTTGCTATGCTCCCAGCAAAACTGGTAGTTGGAATTTCGAGTAGTTAATGAATTCTCAAATCAAAATACATTGTACCAAAAAGTGGCTGAAAGTTGCTTAAATATTCCCAAGACTTTGTGCAACTCCTGTCCTAGGTTTGTACATGAATTACTTTAATTCTGCCAGATACAGCTGGATATTTCCATGATGAAATGGCATCAAAGCTGGGAAGAATTTATTGGCACAACAACTGTGTGTCCAGCATGTGCTGGTGTGAGGTGTTTCCAACACTTTGTATCTTCCCTCGGGAGGTGTCTCTGTGTAATTCCCAGGTGAATAATGCTCACAACTCCTTATTCATACAGGAAATGCCACACCATCGAGCCCTGGTAGTAATGTACTGAGTATGTCCAGTGAAAAGGGAACAATAGAGGCTGGGCTGCAGCACTGAAATTACCTGATGGAAATGGTCCAGGAATCAAAGACAGCAAGTCAAATGCAAACAACACTCATGAAAACAAAAGGGAGCCATAAAAAACTACATTTTAGTGGATGATCAGCTCTGTAAGCTGAAAAAAAAAAAAAGTGGGCTTTATTGATTATTTTGTGGGATTTGTTTAATTTAATTGAAGGCCCTAAAGTTTCTGTTATTTAGCCTGCTGGGAAGTAGTCAAGTTCCAGTAAATAAACACCCATGTGATTCCAGTAGGTATCTAGAAAAGCAAATCCTCCAAATGGCTGTTTTCAGACTTGATAGCAGAGTCCCTGTAGAAATTCCTTCAGTGGGATATAAGCTCGCATCTAATGGCAGTCTCTGATTTAGGCCAAATCTGCTTTACTGACACTCGAGCTGTCCTATGGAGATCCCAAAACCACACAGACTTTCACAGCCCATAAATCCCACGGAATACATCTCTTAAGTACTTTACTCAAAGGAATGTTAAGCTCTTTTACTAAATCTGCAAATTACAGCTATTTGACAATTCTGAGTTTACAGTCTGACAGCTCACGTCATCAGTGGAGCAGGATGAGCGGAGTCAGAGGCGGCATCGCTTGCTGCTGACTTGCAGGGATCTGGTAATAACAATCCACTGGAAAATGTTGGAAAGCTGTGACAGCCTGGGAATGGTTTGTGACATCTTGTTAAACACACTTGTTTTTATTCCCACTGACTGCAGCAAGATCCAGTGATATTTCATGGAAAAGGAATGCTTGTGTTCCAAAGCAGTTCCCCTGAGGACCCACGCCACCATCCAGGTGAATTTCTATACAAATGACCACGTCCCAATACTTGAGTCAGATTAAAAGGAAGTTTCTCAACAAACTGTTCCTCCCTGACTGCAGGAGGTAATGAAGTGAAAACAGTGGCCAACGAACTCTGCAGGAGCAGGAGATGGAGGAGGCTGGTGAAGCCCTGGCTGACGAGTGCTCTGGGGTGCCCAGCACTGGCTGTGTGGGGAGGGAACACTCACTAATGACTTCATGGCTCAGAGCAACTCAGGCCTGACTTAAACTGAAGTGGGCAGTGGCAGGAGAGCTGCAAACTCACAGGTGCACCAGTGTCATCTGAGGAACACACACGAGGCATACGTGTGAGCAGCCAAGGAGAAGAGCTGTGTCTTTCCAAAGAAGACTCCCTGGATAGTCAGCTGTTCCCTGTGACTGAACACAGGGTTCCTTGTAGTGCAACCAAAATTTATTACATGTTTTGTAACCACCATCTACTTGTTTTAATACACACTTGGCCTGAAGTTCTTACTGAACCTGCTGTAAGACCTATGGGAGTGGTGGCACAGGGACTAAAGGAAACATTGGTTTAGCAGGTAATGGCAGCACAGCCAACTCAATTCGGCCAGTGCTGCTCTTTAAAATAGGTGCAGAAAAGAAAAAACTGTAGAAGAAACTATACTTGCTGTATAGTATAGCTGTAGAAAAAACTATAATTGCTGAATCACCCAGCTGTTGCCAACACAGTTTTTGAATCCCAGACCCAGTTTTTGCACTGCAGACTGTACAGCAAGGTGGGCAG